CCCAGACACACACACACACACACACACCCAGACACAGACACACCCAGACACACACAGACACACACACACAGACACACACACACACACACACACACACACCCAGACACACACACACACACACACACACACCACACACCCAGACACACACAGACACACACACACCACACACCACCAGACAGAGAGACAGAAGACAGATACACACACACTTTCTCTCTCTCTCACACACACACACAGACACACATCCTTCCATGTGTGTCCCTCTCCCCAGCCCTTAAAATAAACTAAATAAATGTACTTTTTTTCCTGAACAGAATAGAAAACATAAAAGGTCCAAGAACAAACAGAATTTCCACCTAAAGTCCTCTTAATGCCCAACACTCAAATTGTATATTTCTATAAACACCAAAGGCCAAGAGATAGTTTGTAAAGTCAAAGCTTCAGTGGGAATGCACTTCGATAAAAGGCAAAATCTAGTAAACCCCAGACAGACTCATCTTTTTGTGTATGCATGGAGGGGAGGGGTCCTGGGAGGCTGAACAGGGCTTCACACATACAAGGCAAAGCATTCTGTGAACACTGAGCTACACCTGCCCAGCTTTACTCTGAGCTGTCTGTAGCCCTATAGCCCTTGTGAGCCTTTTGCCTCAGGGTCCCTACTGGCTGGCTGGGGTTCACAAGCCTATGCCACCAAGCCAGACTGAATCGCTTTCATGAGAAATGTCACATATAACAGAAACCCTGACCAAGTTAGAACTCATTCATCTAGATTTCCCAATGACTGTCCTTTCCAAACCACTTGGAAAGATATTTAGCAACAAAGAAACAAATCAAATAATGGTGGTAGAATCCGGTTACTACAAGTGTTGAGCATGCTTCAGTTACATCATAAACTGGTGCTTACTGCACCACACAGCACAAGGCACATGGCTCCTGGGACAATGCCAGAGGGGGTGGGAGACAGGGAGGGAGGGAGAGGGAGGGGGAGAGAGAGAGAGAGAGAGCTTCGTCCACGGTGCCAATCATAGTTCTCTGCTCCTTTACAGGAGATTTTATTGCAACTCTGTTGCCACAAATTCACAAGGATGTCAGTCAGAGGACAGGCAAGATGTACAATCCTTGCTGACGGCCTTATTTGTCCCTGGATTGGGATGATTTTTCCATGTCCAATTATAAAAGAAAATGGGGACATTTCATGTACGTAAAGGAACAATGATGAGTACAGAACTGGAAAACATCACTATGGCCTCTCTAATGTAGAGCGAAAACAGTCCTATTATGTTGCAAAGCAAATGTCTATAATGTCAAATGGATTGTAACCCAGAGAAATTTCATTTTCAAGAACACTGTCAGCAGAAAGGCAAAAAAGTTTCAATTTAAAACATCCCTAACGAAGAACTGAGGAAAGGGCCTTGATCTTCCTAGAGCCTGCTTACTGCCAGTTTTTAACATGCCTTTCTGTCTGGGCACACAGGTAAACTTAAATTACTGTGCATAGCACCTCAAGGTAGAAACGGCAAGCTATGAAAGTTGCCAACTTTCAATTCCAATGAGGAAATACAGAAAATAAAATATAAATAATAACTTACTTTTTAGATTTTCAGGCCTTTATGAGGTATAACTGAATAAATTGTAATACATTTGATAGTCATTGTCCTCTTCTTTACAAAATTTTCATTTAAAAAGTCAATAGTACTCACAAAAATCTATGAACTCACAATTTGGGAGCACAATTAATGTAATTCTTAATGCTCCATTATGGCAGCAACTAAGCAATTATGAAAATGTTGTATACAAATTTAGACATGACCATTTCGTGAGTACTGTTCATTATTCCTAAGCAACAAAATGTTATTGGTGGCTGACTTGAAACATGGTTTCAAATGGTTGATTTATAAAGAACATTTTACCAGTCCCAGTATCTTTCACGGATAATTCCAATTTCTTACTTTCAATGTCTTGAGTGTGTTCTTCAGACATCTGCTGCCTCTGTGGGGTGGCCTGCTTGGTCAGAGAGTCCCTTAGTGAGGACACATCATTTTTCTCCTAGGACTCCTTCAAATATCTTGTTTAGTATTTGACAGCTTGACTTTAATGACTTTGCCATGAAGCTTTTGGGGTTCACCCTAGATCTATTTTTTAACCTTCTCACATTTAGTATTTCTTTTTTAATTTTTATATTAATTACAGTTTATTCACTTTGTATCCCAGCTGTAGCCCCCTTCCTTATTCTTTTCCTCATCTCCTTCCATGCCATTCTCCAAGCCCACTGATAGGGCAAGTCCTCCTCCCCTTCCATCTGACCCTGGCCTATCAGGTCTAATCAGGACTGGTTGCATTGTCTTCCTCTATGGCCTGGTAAGGCTGCTCCCCACTCAGGGGGAGGTGATTAAAAAGCAGGCCAATCAGTTCATGTCAGAGACAGTCCCTGTTCCCCTTACTAGGGAAAGCACTTGGAGACTGAGCTGCCATGGGTTACATCTGTGCAGCGGTTCTAGGTTATCTCCATGCATGGTCTTTATTTGGAGGATCAGTCTCAGAAAAGATCCCTAGGCCCAGATTTCTTGGTTCTGTTGCTCTCCGTGTGGAGCTCCTGTCCCTTCCAGGTCTTTCTATCTCCCCCTTCTTTCATAAGATTCCCTGCACTCTGCCCAAAGTTTGGCTATGAGTCTGAACATCTGCTGTGATACAATGCTCGGTAGAGTCTTTCAGAGGCCCTCTGTCGTAGGCTCCTATCCCGTTTCCTATTTTCTCCCTCTTCTGATGTCCATCCCGTTGGCCTTTCTGAGGACTGATCATCTTACCCTGTGTCCTCCTTCTTGCTTAGCTTCTTTACGTGTACAGATTTTAGTATGTTTATCCTGTATTATATGTCTAATATCCACTTAGAAGTGAGTATATGCCATGGGTGTCTTTCTGCTTCTGGGGTACCTCACTCAGGATGATCTCTAGTTCCCAGCAATTGCCCGCAAATTTCATAATTTCCTTGTTTTTAATTGCTGAGTAGTGTTCCATTGCATAAATGTACTAGTATTTCTGTATCCATTCCTCAGTTGAGGGGCATCTGGGTTGTTTCCAGGTTCTGCCTATTATAAATAAAGCTGCTATGAACATAGTTTAGCAAATGTCCTTGCTGTGTACTTGAGTATATTTTGGCAATTTCCTGAACAGAATACCAACAGCACAGGCTCTAAGATCAACAATCAATAAATGAGACCTCATGAAACTGAAAAGCTTCTGTAAAGCAAAGGACACTGTCATCAGAACAAAACAACAGCCTACAGACTGGGAAAGGATCTTCATCAACCCTATATCTGACAGAGGGCCAATAATCAGAATATATAAAGAACTCAAGAAGTTAAAAAGCAACAAATCAAGTAATCCAATTAAAAAATGGGGTACAGAGCTAAACAGAGAATTCTTTATAGAGGAATATCGAATGGCAGAGAAACACTTAAAAGAAAAGCTCAACATCCTTAGTCATCAGGGAAATACAAATCAAAATGACCCTGAGATTTCACCTTACACCCATCAGAATGGCTAGGATCAAAAACTTAAGTGACAACACATGCTGAAGGGGTTGTGGAGAAAGGGGAACCTTCCTCTACTGCTGGTGGGAATGTAAACTTGTACGACCACTTTGGAAATCAATCTGGAGCTTTCTCAGACAATCAGGAATAGCGCTTCCTCAAGACCCAGCCATACCATTCCTGGGCATATATCCACATTTAGTATTTCTATTTCTTTCTTCAGATAGGAAAGTTCTTGGCTATTGTTTCTTTAAAGGAGTCCTCTGTTTTTTGTCTTCTTAACCTCTTCTTGCAAGGCTCTCATAATAAACCCATTGTTTCATCTGATGGTTTCCCATCAATCCTTTTATACTTTAAAAATTCCTATTATTATTTTATTCCCACTGACTAATAGCTCGCTTTCAAATCTACCAATTTTTCAGCTTCACCAAATTTATTTTTTAATTTCTCTAATGAATTTTTCAGTTAATTGTAGTATTCTTACATGCTAAAATTTCTGTTTGGTTCTTTTCATTAAAACTCTTTAAAGTTTTAATCTTATTTTTTATGCATACCTGAGTGATTTCACTTGGCTGTCTGTGGTTTCTTGTGATATATCAATTTTCTTTAGAATAACTCAATAATATATTGAATTTCTTTAGAATAATTACATAATTTTTAAAAAT